TGGTTCTGCTGGAGGTTTCTTCCTGTTCAAAGGGAGTTTTTCCTCTCCACTGTCGCTACAAGCATGCTTAGTGTGAGGGATTGCTGAATACTATCCTGGTGAAGATTCTCAGTCATCCAGGTCAAAGTCATTCCAAGAAAGTTAAAAAACAATCGACTGGACTCGTTTTTTTTTTACTTTTTTGGGAGGATTGTCTGAAGAATCAAGGACTGAATCCAGACAAATGTCATCAACTCCAGTTCATCCAGGAGGATCATTTCCTGCAGGTAATTAACCTAAAATGATCTCAGGAAAACAACCTGAGATGATGTGCTGTAAAATACAGCCATAGAAATAAAGTGAATAGAGAAGCAGTGAATGGGAATCCATCCATCCTGACCTGGTGTGATAGATCTACACGCAGCAGAGGAGACATTTCTATATTTCTATGTTTAGCAAATAGTGTCTCCAGGCGAATCATCTGGACCAGAGGTCACCGACCTTTTGAAGACTAAGAGTCATAGAAAGGACTACTGACCTTTGACCTTTGTTTCAATGTTTCTTTTAAATATTGTTATTTTAAATCTCTATAGATGCTGGCGTGATTGAAAAAGCAGCAACATTTCAAACTTAGCCCTCTGGGGAGCTGTGCTGTCGGCCCCCCAGGCGGTTCCAGGGGGCCCCTTGATGCCCGCGGGCACCGTGTAGGCGACCCCTGGAACCTGAACATTAACCATTGGCCTACGTCGTGGGGTGACTCTTCCCGTAGAAACGGTGCTCCAGCAGGAAGCAGAGGGCTCCCACTTCCTTAGCGTAGGTGAGCCAGGTGCCTTCCTTCATCCATGCAGGGTTAGCAGGGCCCTCCCCACCAATCATCAGAAACACGGGGCCTCCAGGCTGGTAGAAGGCATCGTTAGTGAAGTATCTCTGTGAGAGAAAACATGGAGATAGATGAAAACAGAGCCAAGCCAAACTATCGGCACCCGTTCAGCTCCTGGTTGGTCCGGTCCCTCCAGAGGCGTGGGAAGGACGTGGACGCAGCACTATTTACACAAATAAACATCAGAAAAGCATGAGGTGCGTTTTTCAGCCACGCCAGGCTCCAACTTTTCTGCTTTTTTCAGAGGTTTGGACTTCGATAGATTCTAGTCTATTATTGGACAGGGAGCTGCTGTGGACTGGACCACATGTTCATCTACTCTGCTTGGGCTCCATGCCCCGCTCTGGGGTCTACGGCGCCCTCCAACAGTAACTCACTCCATCAAATCAGACCACAGCATGAAGCTGCCACCACCATGTTTCACTGTGAGAGTGATTTCAGGGGACAGTTAATATTCAGTTTGTATGAAGTTACAACTTATGACAAACCACTGAGGCTTCACAATATACTGAAATAAAGTGAATCAGTTCACTAATCAGATCATTTCTGAAAGATTATCATTTGGTAAAATTGTTGGAAGTTTTACTTCCTTTCATCCAAACCCAACTTGTTCCAAGGTGTGAATACTTCTGGAAGTAGTGAGTGGAAGCTCTACAGATACACCTGACAGCCCTCTGACTGCTCAACACTTACCTGCTTCCACACTCTGCTGTCTGCCCCGTTGAAGTGATCCAGTCTCTGAGTGAACCACAGCTCCTCAGACTCAGCCCCCTGGGGGGGATCATGCAGCACATTCCCTCTCCTGAATCCCTGGAAGCGACCTGTTGCCACAGCAAGCAGGCTGAGCGCAGCCACACACCGAAGAGCCATGATGGATCCACAGCAACAGCCTGAAGCATGTGACCCGTTCAAGTCCAGTCACATGAACAGCTACAGGATACTTCATGGACCGCCCAAATCCATAGGAATTATCAGCTGTTATATCATATATCATAAATGTTATATGTGAGAATGTTATAAATGCGGTTATATCATAAATGTTTGAAAAAAAAGAGAAAAACTTTTAACTCTCCGTCTTTAAAGCAAATCTTAAGAAAAATGTTCGCTGCAAACGTTACTTATGGAGGGGGAACTAGAGATAAACCGCCAATGATATTTTCCGACACTCTTTATGTAACCTGAAGTAGCATAATCAATGAGACACCAGGGGGCGCTGTAGAGAAACACGCAGAGTTTCCTCTCATCAGAAGAAGTCAACCTTGGTCTCCGGTCTCCTCTAGCTAAACGTTAGCTGCCACCATGGAAGATCCAAAAAAGAAAGAAAACAAGCCTTCAGAAAAGGCGACAGACAAGGATAAAGAAAAGGAAAAGGGACAACAGTCCTCTGGGAAAGACAAAGATAAGAAAGAGGAACAGGAATTGGTAAGTCTGGGAAGTTTTATTGAAACTGGGCTTAGAAGGAGGTGGGTGTTGGGAGCAGGTATTTGCCTTAGTCACCGCGGTTCACCGGTCAGCGGGGTGCAGCGGGCTAACTACTGCCTCTGAGGCGCATTCAGTCTGCTTGGTTGAAACTTTACTCAAATATATTAGCGCGCGCCGACATGTTCAAGAGCCATAAATGGAGAAATGAGCAAAGTTCAGCGTCATTCGCTGCCGTTAGCCTAGCCAGCTCCGTGTGCTAGCAGCTAGCTGGCTGTGCTAGCAGCTAGCGGGCTGTGCTAGCAGCTAGCGGGCTGTGCTGTATGACACAGCAGTTAACCCAGCGCATCATAACACAGAGCGAGGCTTCCTTCAGTTAAATGATATCAGGTTGTTTAAATAGATGTTTTTAATGCTGAGGTTCGACCTGACTGACCGGAAATCATCTAATGAGGAGGAATTAAATGCAGAGACTCAGTTTCCCCACTGAGGGACAATAAAGACATTTAGAGAACATTTAAATACCTCAATCTGTGTGCTTCACTCTTACATGGCTCTCTGTGTGAATACTGCATGAAATAAGCTATATTATACTACAAGAATATATATTGTATGAAATAAACTATTATACTACGTGATATATACTGCGTGTTGCTACATACATACTACATGATCAGATTAAAGATTGGAGTGGTGAGCATCTAGTACAGGGGTATTCAGGTAGAACTTAAAGAGGTCCACTCTGAGATTTTTCATGACGCCAAGGTCCAAAATACATCCATCCTCTGCAGGAAGTCCAAGCGCTTCTGGGCCCTTTGGACCAGTGAGGTGGTGTTTCCAGTCCAGGTGAGGGTGTCTGTGCTGCTGACTGTTGATGAGCAGCCAGCTAGCGCAGTGACCCCTGACCTAGAAGGATCCATCAGCCTGTGTTTGACCTCCATCCATCACCACCTCAGCTTCTATCCTTCAATCTCTCCTTCCATCATTCTACATGATAAACAGCCGCTATAGAAATATGGAACATAGATTTATTGTAAGAGCTGTGTGTTTTGAAGATCTCAGAAATGAGTGAAATTGTCCATGTTAGGATAGTTATGATTGAAGATGTGAGTCTAAACACCAATTACACCCTGCTAATGGCTGCCTGATGCTGTTTCAATCTAATTAGGACAGTTTCTCTGTCTGGATAATAGTTAGCATCTTCATTCTGTACGTGGCAAAGATTTGGAAATGGATTGAAAACGAGATGGGGTTGCTGCGCTAGCGGGGCGGGGGACGGTCCCGAAGGGATGGGGTTGCTGCGCTAGCGGGGCGGGGGACGGTCCCGAAGGGATGGGGTTGCTGCGCTAGCGGGGCGGGGGACGGTCCCGAAGGGATGGGGTTGCTGCGCTAGCGGGGCGGGGGACGGTCCCGAAGGGATGGGGTTGCTGCGCTAGCTGGCCGGTTCTGCGGGGCGGGGGCCGGTCCTGTGGGGCGCCGGTTCAGACACAGATGTACATTTCTATATTTTTTCATAAGCTAGTTGTATACAGGCTGAAATCAGGGCTCCTCCTCCGCCGCCGTGCTGGAACAGTGTCTGCTGAAACCTCTCTGGTTGGTCTGAGGAGAGTTTCTTCACAGTTGCTTCATATTTAGATGCAGAGTTTGACAGATTTAGTTGCAGCCATGGAATCTATATAGAGTTGATTAACAGAAGAATAAGGAATCAGGCTGTTTATGATAAACTCTGTTACACTTTTTAAACCTTATTTTACCAACTAATTGTTTTACTGCTTTATTTTTTCTGTTCAAATGTCTTTGATGTTTCACAGCCAATGGTTGTAACTTTGTCCTCATGTCTCAGTCAGAGGAAGACAAGCAGCTCCAGGAAGACCTGGAGATGATGGTGGAGAGGCTGAGTGTGAGTCCTGCTTCCTGCTCTGCTTGTTCACTTGCTGGATCTGTGGATCTGAAGGCATATTTCTCTACAGGAGAAGAACACGGCCTTGTATCGTCCAGCTTTAGAAGAACTGCGTAGACAGATCCGCTCGTCCACCACCTCCATGACCTCCGTCCCAAAGCCCCTGAAGTTCCTGCGCCCGCACTACGCCAAGCTGAAGGAAATCTATGAAGGCATGGCCCCCGGAGAGAACAAGGTGAGCCTGGTCTGCTCTCTGGGTCACATGGCTGCAGTTTCACCGCCGAGGGAGGGAGAACGGAGGAATGAAGCACCCAGCCTAGGCTAGGCTAACCCTAGGGGGGTCTAACCCAGGCAGCACCGTCCCCTGGCCTCACCCTATGTGTGTGTTTTCCGTTGCAGCGTTTCTGTGCGGACGTGGTGTCGGTGTTGGCCATGACCATGAGCAACGAACGCGAGTGCCTGAAGTACCGCCTGGTGAGCTCCCAGGAGGAGCTGGCCTCCTGGGGTCATGAGTACGTCAGGTAAGTCCCTCAGTCCCGCCTCCAGCTGATTGGATCCCCGCCTCCCATGTGCAGCTTTCAGCCAATCACCATCCGTTCTGAAAGCGGTTCTCTGCCTCTGGTTGTCATGGTGATGTCAAACACATCTCAGTGGATCTTTATAAAGCTTCTAGTTTCTCTGGTTCTGATCTCTACAGATTCGCTCTGTGACATCAGTTCTTCATGTCCGCAGCAGGTAGAGCGCCTAAGGATCCGCTTTTATTCGAGGTGTTAGACAGACGCTGTTCTCAACCAATAAAACCTGAATGATCCAGCCAATCAGAGAGAGAGAAGAGGGCGGGTCTTTGCAAAGCAAGGATTGAAGGTTTAAAAGAACAGAAGGAACAGATGCATGAATGAAGGCGGCGCTGGTTTCTTTGGGTTTAGATGAACCAGCTGCTCGTCAGGAAGGTTGCTTCAATAACCAGACTAGATCATCAGCAGGTCAAAGGTCACCACTGCTCTCTGTCTGTTAGGCACCTGGCAGGTGAGGTGGCCAAAGAGTGGCAGGAGGTGGAGGAGAACGACAAGAGCCAGCAGCAGACTCTGCTGAAGCTGGTGGAGGAGATCGTTCCGTACAACATGGCGCACAACGCAGAGCACGAGGCGTGCGACCTTCTGATGGAGATCGAGAGGCTGGACATGCTGGAGGACTACATTGACGAGAACGCCTACGGGAAGGTCTGCCTGTACCTCACCAGGTCTGTGGAGCTTTTCTCCCACGCTTTGCTCCAAAGTGAGGCTTCATGTTGACCGGCCTCCTGTCTCCAGCTGTGTGAGCTACGTTCCTGAGCCGGAGAACTCTGCGCTGCTCAGGTGTGCCCTGAACATCTTCAGGAAGTTCAGCCGCTACCCAGAGGCCCTGCGTCTGGCCCTCATGCTCAACGACATGGAGCTGGTGGAGGACATCTTCACGTCCTGCAAAGACATGTGAGCTGCAGCTGGACTTCCTGTGAGGCTCCGCCTGCGCAGCTCCGTGCTCCTAATGACCTCCTTTGGTTTGCAGAGTCATCCAGAAGCAGATGGCCTTCATGTTGGGCCGCCACGGCGTCTTTTTAGAGCTGAACGAAGACGTGGAGGACTGTGAAGACCTGACGGAGATCATGTCCAACGTTCAGCTCAACAGCAACTTCTTGGCCCTGGCCAGAGAGGTAAGGGGCTGACAGAGCGTCGCCGCCGCCGCCCGCCTGCAGAGCTTCACGCCAAACTGTTTTCTTTCTTCCAGCTGGACATCATGGAGCCCAAAGTGCCAGATGACATCTACAAAACCCACCTGGAGAACAACAGTGAGTCCTGATCTGTGGAGGTCTGGCTGCAGCCCGCTGATCTTCTCTGAGCGGCTGATGTTTTCTCCTGCAGGGTTTGGTGGCAGCGGCTCCCAGGTGGACTCCGCTCGGATGAACCTGGCCTCCTCCTTTGTGAACGGCTTTGTGAACGCCGCCTTCGGACAAGACAAGCTGCTCACAGACGACGGCAACAAGTGGCTGTACAAGAACAAGGATCACGGTAGGAACACGCACAGAACATGGCTGCCAGACGCTCAGCTGCTGCAGCTGCTGTGACGCCTCCATTTGTCCTCCTCAGGCATGCTGAGTGCGGCTGCTTCTCTGGGGATGATCCTGCTGTGGGACGTGGACGGCGGCCTGACTCAGATCGATAAATACCTCTACTCCTCTGAGGACTACATCAAGGTACGCAGCAGGAGGATCATCATCATCTAGCTGCAGGTGGAACCCACCCAGGTGTCCTTCTCAGCTCCATGGAGCCTGTTGCTATGGCAACCCCCCATCAGGGCAGGAGGGGGCGGCGCCCTGCCAGCTGAGCCCCATCGGGGCGAGGGGGGCTGCGGGTTCTGTAGTCAAACGATGATCCTGCTGGTAGAAGAACCATCAATGCTTCTCCTGCAGACCAGGAGCTGTCGGAACCTTTCGCTGCCTGATCACCTGACCTCTTCTTCTTCTTCTGCTGCAGTCCGGTGCCCTGCTGGCCTGCGGCATAGTGAACTCAGGGGTAAGGAACGAGTGTGACCCGGCGCTGGCTCTGCTCTCTGACTACGTTCTCCACAACAGCAACGTCATGAGGATAGGCGCCATCTTTGGGTAAGTGCTGCGCTCTGAAGGCTGCTCCTAACGTCATCATGATGTCATCATGTGGGCGTGTCTCTGCTTTCAGGCTGGGTCTGGCCTACGCCGGCTCCAACAGAGAAGATGTCCTCTCTCTGCTGCTTCCTGTGATGGGCGACTCCAAGTCCAGCATGGAGGTGGGTCTGCTGTAGATCACTTCTGTGCTTCCGCTCGCCATGGTTACAGCCTTTGTTCTAACCCGTGCAGGTGGTTGGAGTGACGGCGCTGGCGTGCGGCATGATTGCTGTGGGCTCGTGTAACGGAGATGTGACCTCCACCATCGTCCAGACCATCATGGAGAAGAACGAGCAGGAGCTGAAGGACACGTACGCCCGCTGGCTGCCTCTGGGGCTGGGCCTCAACCACCTCGGTCTGCGGCACAGTGATGATGATGATGACGACTGAGCCGCTTGCTGATTGGCTAACCGAAGGTCCTTCTCTTCTCCAGGGAAAGGCGAGGCTATAGAGACCACCCTGGCGGCTCTGCAGGTTGTTCCTGAACCTTTCCGCAGCTTCGCCAACACCTTGGTGGACATCTGCGGTTATGCAGGTGAGCTGAGGACGTTCTCTGGCACCCCCCCACACCCCACCCCCACTGACCCGCCGCCGTGTCTCCAGGTTCTGGGAACGTCCTGAAAGTCCAGCAGCTTCTCCACATCTGCAGCGAGCATTACGAAGCCAAGGACAAAGACAAGGAGGAGGACAAGGACAAGAAGGAGAAGAAGGACAAGGACAAGAAGGACACGGCTGACATGGGCTCTCACCAGGTAGGAGGGTCAAAGGTCAGAGATGAGCCACGCTGCAGACAGGAGGTGGTTGATGAGCAACTGTTAGCAGGTTGTTTGATCTCCTTTGAAGGAGCCGATGATGTCATTTCCTGTTGATGAGGAAGTGACAGTCACAGCTCCTCTTCATCAAAGGTCCCTTAGAGAGACGCAGGTGTGAGGAAGAGGAGTGATGAAGTTCCTTTCTGTCGTCCTCTCAGGGCGTGGCTGTCCTGGGCATCGCCCTGATCGCCATGGGGGAGGAGATTGGTTCTGAAATGGCTCTGCGGACATTTGGACACCTGGTCAGTGTTTCTAGGTGTTCTGATCTAGAAAACTAGATCTAAGGACCCTTCAGGTCGGCGCTGTCTAGTTTCTCAGCCTTGCTCTGTTTTCAGCTGCGTTACGGCGAGCCCACGCTGCGGAGGGCCGTCCCGCTGGCCCTCGCCCTCATCTCCGTGTCCAACCCCCGGCTCAACATCCTGGACACCCTCAGCAAGTTCTCCCACGACGCTGACCCGGAGGTCGCCCATAACTCCATCTTCGCCATGGGCATGGTGGGCAGTGGTGAGTGGGGGGGTGAGGGGGAGGGAGGGAGGGAGGCGCTGCCATGAACTCCACACTGAAACGTTTCTCCCATTTCTTCTTCTCTTGAGGCACAAACAACGCCCGCCTGGCGGCCATGCTGCGGCAGCTGGCCCAGTACCACGCCAAAGACCCCAACAACCTGTTCATGGTGCGCCTGGCGCAGGTGAGTGATGACCAGGGAGCCGCTCGCCGTTATCCACCGACCGCTTACTGAGGCCCAGCTGTTTCTGCTCCTCAGGGTCTGACTCACCTGGGCAAAGGGACGCTCACGCTGTGCCCCTACCACAGCGACCGGCAGCTGATGAGCCAGGTGGCCGTGGCGGGCCTGCTCACCGTGCTCGTCTCCTTCCTGGACGTCAAGAACAGTGAGTTGGTGGTGGTGGGGGGCTGATGACGGGGGGGCCTGATGACAGGGGAGTGGCTGATGACGGAGGGGCTGATGACGGAGGGGCTGATGACGGAGGGGCTGATGACGGAGGGGCTGATGACGGTGGGGCCTGATGAC